TTAAGTGGACAGCTTGGGGAAATACACAGATCTTGAATCTGCTCACAACACAGGTTCAAGCAGGACCTCTTTAAACACCCCCAAATCAGCGTCCATAAACAAGGCATATACCTCACTGACGCTGAGCTACACAACTGGCAAGATCCCCCCCCAGGAACTCAAAGCTATGGGTGGGACCACCGTAATCAGGGGCATTCATACTCAACAAAAAACACAAGGTGTACCAAAAATGAGAGGAAGACAAAAAGTCTGAATCAAAGGCTTCTTCATCAGTAGAGGACATTACATCATATGAATGGCACTTTTGTAATATACGATTAAGCTGCTTTTATCCAAAACTGCTTAACCCAAACAAATAGTATTTTTGCTGAAAACAAATCAGATGAATCCCCTTTCTTAAGTGGTACAGCTGCGTGACCCTTCCAGGGACTCGAACTTGCTGCACAATGGATGCCGGTGTGGTTTCTGAAGCACTAGGCAGCCTGTTTGACATGCTTGGCAAGAGGTAGGTTAAGGGGCCACATGCTGATTGCAGTGCGTTGCTGCACCCACCACACAACAAACCACCTCAGGGATGAGAGCCTGAGTGCAGCTGTGCAGTGGGTGATACCTCAGCACCACACTAGTCTAAATGGACCAATGTGAGTTTTTTTCCAGTGGCTGGAGTGAGAATCCTGCAACCAAACCCTAAATTTCCCTGGAAGTTGGAGGACCTCCTTAAAGGGTTGGATGCAGATTAACATCATACCCAGAATGAAGCAAGTACAGGTTAGGGGCCTTGCTCAAGGGCCCAAGGGAGTTGGATCACTCCTAGCCTTCACGGGACTCAAACTAACAACCTTCCGATTGTTGGCGCAGATCCCAAGCCTCAGAGCCACCACTCCACCAGCAAGATAGGGACCAAAAAACAGAAAGCTGTTGTCATAACATCTGTTCCTGTGTGTTTTTTGTTCATAAGGGCCACAGTTTGCTTTGAAAAAGCTATAACTCTATAATTCTGTTCTTGATGCAACTTACTGTGGCAATAAAACAAATCTGTCTGATGAAGGCCTCTATGCAAATCCTGAATCTGATTATCTGCACTGCACTGGGTATGATTTCCTATAAGCAGTGCTACATGGGAGTTAGGCTTGGCCCTTTCAATCTAAAAAAATAAGGGACACGCCCCCTCCTGCCTAGGGCCCCAACAGTAAAATTTGCCAGGGGGGTTTGCACACCCTGACCATGCCCCTCTGCTGCATAGGAATTTCTTCGTTTAATTTACAAATAAAAGTCACTTCAGACTATGAATAACTGAGCCAACTTCATGGCTTGTTTTTGTGGCACTATACTGTAGGTTAATGTGTTCAGCTGCTAACTGAAAGGTCGGTGCTGTGAGGCCACATCGGGATGGTTTGCTTTCAAGAATTTCCTCCTGGCATCAATACAAAACAGAAGAGTGATAGTTTATTAATCCCTGTGGGAAAATTCCCTTTTCATTTTACCCACTCTTGCTCTCCATGAGACCCATATGCAGGTGAGAGCAAGTTTGGGGGGGGGGGTCACAGTGAAGGAGCAGCCACTTTGCAGCGTCCAGGGAGCTGGGGGCTAAGGGCCCTGCTCAAGGTCCTACAGGCATGTGACTATTCTGCTGAGGCTGGGACTCAACCCAGTGACCTTCTGATCACAGGCACATAGGCTTAGCCTGCTTTAAACCAAACTTCATAGTGTAAATACCCAGATAAGTGTGACTGTGCCCCTTCTCGTCCAATCACCCACTGCCTCCACCAGGGTTTCTCTAACAGATTTTTGTTCAAAGTCAGAGGTCTGGAACGATTTTCAATAACAAAGCAGCATCTCATGAATTTAATGAATTAACAATAGCCTTCGATATAGACATCAATGTACAGTGGTACCTCAGTTCTTGAACTCAGGTACCACCTGCTATGTCACGAAAGTCACATATGGGTCAAATGCAGAGGTCACATTTCGTTGTTGCGCACTGTGTGCTGTGGTGTGTTGACAATGACCACTGATCACTAAATTCTAATTCTAATTAATTCTACTGTCTCTTTTGTTTGCAAACCCTGGTTAAAACTATCTGACCACAGCTCTGTGAGACAGGGGCTCCATCGTCAAGCACCCAGGCCCTTCACCAGAGCTGTGGGATTCTGGTGTTCTCCATCTGCTTTGATAAGGCAAAGCCTTCCTGATCACCCCTTTGCGTGCCGCCTGTCACATACAGTAGACACCTGCACTACTAATCTTCTTACTTGTCAACTTGATCCAATTCTCAGCTTAATGTGGTAGTGGGGCTCTTCAAAGACAATCCACATACAAGAAAAATATTTTTGATTTCTCCCATATTTGCATTCTTCCTTAGCAATTATAGAATTTGTTTTTTATAACTGACCAACAAATTAAACCACTAAAGCTTTCCATCTACATGTAAATATAGAACTGGTACACCCTCAGAAAAAATGGTATAATTTTGTACCTTTGCTTGTCACTGGGGTTGTACCCTTGTAATTGTACCTTTTAAGGTACAGAAATGGACTCTGAGGAACATCCCAAAGGTACAAAGAACATTAATGTACCATCAATGGTACAGAAATGTTCCTTAGAGTCCATTAAAAGGTACAATTACAGTACCTACAACTAAGGGTATAATTGGCAGACCCTTGAGGGAGTGTATAAAGAATATGCAAAGCTTATTTGTTTGAAAATAAATGTTAATTGCATCGTGTTGTTTTGAAATTTAAAGGCTTTTTCTTTAGTCAACATAAGTTAAACAGTCATTACCTTAAAGCTACATGACATACGACTTACAAACGTTCATTTCAATGGTCTTGCAAAAATAGGCCTAATAATTCATAATAGATCAATATACACACAAAGACATTTAAACAGTATTTGGTTGTGTGCAGTTTTTTCAGATGAGTTAAACTGCATACTTTTTATCAGTGTTATTCAGAAATATATTTTCCAGGACAAGGAAATGTTTTATGCCTTTTCAGTCTCGGAATGCTGTCTAGAAATAATCTGATATTTAAGAACATATCAATACAATTTAACTCAGGTCACACCTTACTTTGTTTTGTTTTTTTATGGGCAAAAATTAAACATCATGCAGTTTTTCGTTAATCTCCATCCAGAAAGATTAGTTTCACTGACACTGAAACTCACATTTGCTTAATAATGGCATACTCATCAAAGTCGTTAGCAATAAACGAACTGAGATCTCGTGACAGCTGATAGGTTCGCTGTCCATCAGTGCGCCACACTGTCAGGCGCGCGGCTCCCTCTGCGCTGCCACGCAAACGCCCCCACAGGATGGTCAGAGACGCAAAATCACCGGCATATACTATGATAGTATGCTGAAATTAACTAATAGCAACATAGCACTGAGTCTTAACTCCCACATCGTATACCCTGGGGACAAATTGACCCCAAAGGCACATGTAAGGTGACTTCTCACAGTAACATAATTATTGTAGCGTGCAGTGGTGGACTGTAACAAAGTTTTTGTACTTCGTTACTGTACTTAAGTACATTTTTACGTATCTGTACTTTACTTAAGTAAAAATAATAATGCATACTTTTTATTTTACTCCATTACATTTTGCGGCAACTATCTGTACTTTCTACT